TGGAGATTCATGATCCTTGAGGTCCCTTCCAACCCTGGCCATTCTGTGATTCTGTGATTCTGTGAATTTTTGTCAGCTGGAAGGGGTGGAAGGACTCACGCTGTTCCCAGTGGTAGCTTGTCTCTTGAATTATTGCAAGAGGCAACAAAGACTATTCAGCTTGAATGAATGTCTTAAAGAGTGTGAGGCAATTTATCTGAAGTGTTTCTTAAAGTAATTTTATTTCTGGTGGCTTAAGGGATGCTCAAAATTAGTCTTGATCTATTAGTGCCTGGGAAAGCGCTCTGTATGAAAGTGAAATTTAATGTTGAGTTGATAATATTGTGGGGAATGTCTTCATGGTAAAGGGAGCTTGACAGCAAGTTGTCAATGAGAAGAGGGACTTGTCTTGAATGACATTTGGCATCTACAAGAAATGGTTTAGTAGCTTAGTGGGTAGTAATGGTGACAGGAGGATGGTTGAACTAGATGATCTTGTAGGTCCTTTCCAACCTTTGCTTCTATGATTCTGTCGCTGTTACCTGAGGAAATAGGCGACTCCCACCTTGGTTCAGCCTCCTTTCAGGCAATTGAGCAGGGTGATACGGTCCCCCTGAGCCTCCTCCAGATTAAACAACCCAGTTCCAGGGCCTCAATGTCTTTCTTGTGGGCCTCAATGTCTTTCTTGTAGCGAGGGGCTCAAAACTGCACACAGTGCTCAAGGTGTGGCAATACCAGTGCTGAGTACAGGGGGACCATCATCCCCCTGGTCCTGCTGACTACGCTATTTCTGATAGAAGCCAGGGTGCCGTTGGTCTTCGTGGCCACCTGGGCACAGTACTGGCTCATATTCAGTCAGCTGCCAATTAACATTTCCGGATCCTTTTCCTCCCTGCAGCTTTCCTCTGCCCCAAGCCTGTAGTGATGCATGGGGTTGTTGTGACCACAGTGCAGGACACAACACTTGGTCTTGTTAAAGGTCATACAGTTAGACTCAGTCCACTGATCCAGCCTGTCCAGATCCTTCTGTAGGGCCTTTCTATCTTCAAGCAGATCAATACTTCTTCCCAACTTGGTTTCATCTGCAAACTTACTGAGGGAACGCTCGATCCCCCTTTCCAGATTGTCAGTAAAGATAACGGGATGCAGACGCTGAGGATGTCATCATTCTTGTAATGGGAGAACATGTCCCACCACTGAATGTATGCTGCCATTTGTGTGCTTTCACAGCATGGCTGTGGTGCCACGTGGGCAGCAGTAGGGCCAGGCTCTTGTAGGCACAGGCTGCTGACAGACCCACAGATCAGTTGCCAGGAGGTGTCAACAAGGACAGGCTCTAAAAATTAAATTTATTTCAGTTGCCTTTGTGGTGGATGCATGGTTTTAGCAGAGGCAAATCTTACCTGCAGCTGGTCTTTGCAAGAAAATCAAGAGAAAAAAGAAGAGTTTTGGGTGCTACACTGGAGACCGGGGTTGACTTACAGACATGCTGTGCTGATGCTGAGTGGAAAGTCTGGTTTAGTGACAGCAGGTACAGACAGAGCTGAGGGACTAAATGGTTTTGCTGCCTGAGTCTTTATTGAAAAGGACTCCAGGCCTCACTGCTTGGGAAGAGGGTTCAAGGAAGATGATGAGTGCATTGAGAGGCATTTCATGAAAGGCCATGAGGACAAATGCAAATGTTTTCTACAGCAAGGCTCTATCTCTGACCGGGGCAAAGGCTGGGGCTGCCAGGCTGAGAGCTGCCCTGTGGAGAAGGTCTTGGTGGGCAATAATCTGGAAAGGAGGCTGCCAGTATGGGGAGGCCAGCAATGTGCCTCACTGCTCTGCATGGCTATTAATCAGCAGTAGTTACATTAAACATCCCCAAATTGTGTCTGTCTTACTTGTGATAGTAATTATGAAGATCTCCATATCCTTCTCTCAACCCATGAGTGAAGACCGTGGCCAGAAGATGGAGGGAAGGCATTATCTAGAATGCTGCCTTCAGATTTCATATCCCCAACACAGGAATGATGTCAGCAAGACAGAGAGGATGTGAGAAGGATCACTCAAGATGGTCAAGGCTGGAGCTCTTCATC